TGGGATGGTATGAGGTCTCCTGCCTTGGGCAGGGGGTTGGACTAGAGGACCTTCAAGGTCCCTTCCAACCCTACAACGATTTTATGACTTACCAGTGGTATATATTCTAATGTAAACTGATTCTTGAGTGTCAGGAGTCTGGACTGTTGCAAGAGAGCTAGCTTTCCCAGTGCATCACAGAACCGGGTATCTGTCTGGCGTTCATGCTTCTTTTTCTCTTTAGACGATGGTAACTCCAATCACGCAGCGGTACTTGAACTTTGGAGAACTGGAGAACAGCATCATGTATTTTCTGTGTGGCGCGGAGGTGAGTGTGCAACAGTGGAGCAAACGTGTCCCACAATTTGTGATCAAGGGACGGTTGCGTTTATGTGGGAGTTACACACTGTGCTTCACTTTCACCGACACTAAAAATTAGACTTATCCTGGCAGCAAATGTGCCTAATTAAGAACCGAGAACGATTTGCGTATGAGAAGGAAAGATGTTTAATTTTTTATAGTACAAACTACAAAGGATCTTGTTGTGTCTTAAATATTAATAAGTCTTATTCGCCTCAAGCTTTCCTTTGCTACAGCCCACTTCATTGGATGCAACCACAGAAACTTATGCCAAAGGGGGGGGGGAATATAAGTCTTTCAAATGGTACAAGATTCTTGGCTGTTTTAATGCAAAAGATAAATTTGGCTCTTTCCAGTGCTTCAGTGGGTTGAATTGGTTTTCACAGGCCGTGAAACCCTGCTGAACTTGTTGAAGGGAAGGAGAAAACGGGGTGAAAGCGATAGGGATTCCTCTTCAAAACATTCTCTCAGGAGAAAAGTGAGAACAGGGAAAAAATATCTCCAACCTTGTCTTGTCATCTCACCTGACTGAAGAGAAAAGGCAGGCAGGCAGGCACCCAGTTCCCTCATAAAAATTTTGAACCGGAGGTTTATTTATTTATTTATGGTTAAAATGTGACTTTAAAAAAATGCCCTGTTTGTGTTACCTATGCTTTCTTGGCATCTAGGGTGACACTGTTGTTATTTTTGCCTTGATTGTGTAGGTTGTTCGTTACATGGTGTGTTAGGAAAGTCTCCTTGTCCTTGCTGACAGGGCAGAATAATACAAAGAAATATTCTCAAAGTGCATCTTGTGTGTGTGTGTGTGTGTGTGAAACAGTCAAAAAGTATTTCCCTCCCCATTTTGAACTGATAACAGAATGGCGTAAAACCTAAAAACCATGTCAGACTGCATGAAAATGCTTTAAAATGCCATCTAAAATTTATTTATTTATTTATTTATTTATTTATTTATTTATTTATTTATTTATTTATTTATTTGATTTCTGTCCCGCCTATCTGGTCTTATTCGACCACTGTTCAAAGTAATTAGCGGGATTTGCTATAGCTATTTCATTATCGTAAGTGTTAGTCATTGTACTTAAAAGGTAACTTTATAACTATGATATTATTTACCTGAAAACCAGTAACAAACCAAGGTTGAAATCCTGTTACGTAGTTATGCCACTGGAAGATAAGCAGCGTGACTTGGGGTGACCTCTTGCTGGCAATTAATGAATCGCTGCTTGGATGTTTGGGCAATGCCCACCTATTGGCTTGGTGCTTTTTCTAAAAATCCAAGTGAGGACTCATTCATTGCCAGCCAGAAGCTGCCTTTTGCTGGCATAAATCAGCAATAACCTATGTTACCTGTAACCCATTACTTCTAAGCTCTGCCTTAAATTTCTTATTCCTGCTTGTCCTTAATTTTACTATACACTCTGTTCAAAAGTAAGGACTTAGCTACTCTCTGGGATATTGTGTCCCTCTCTCAGCTAGATTACTGCAATGTGCTGTATATTAGGTTTACTCTTGGAAGTATGTAGTTTGGAAACTTTTCTTAGTCCTAGCTGTACTGAACCAAGTTTGGGTTTTATACAGATCCGACTATAGACCTTTTTATAACATAGATATTTTTCAAAGAGTAGTCCCTGTTCCCAAGCAGATTTTGAGTGCTTTTGCTGAAGCTTTCAAACCTTAAATGACCTCAGAGGCTGTCTTTCTGCGAAGGGCCATCTCTCATGTATAGATATCAAGATGCTTTATTTATATTGAGAAGTCGCTACAATTCTTGGTTTATTTGAGGGATTCTGTGCTTCCCTGGTGAAACTGCAGGATGCATTTGGTCTGAATGGTTCCCCTCAGTTTATTATGGAGACGCCCCTTAGGGCATGCTTTTGGGACTACAAAACCCCAGGCAACACAACTGTTCTGAGAGCTATAATCCAAACGAGTACGTTTGTAATTCTGTAATCCAGAAGCTGAGGCCATCTTTTGCATGGAGATTCAGTTCTGGCTACTTAAATTGGATCAAGTGACTGCTGGTAGGAAAACCCTGGAGACCTCTCAGAGTACAGTAACCAGTTCTGGGTTTGATGGAGCAACAGTCAGAAACTAATGCATGCCATCCTCCTGGATCTTTCTCCAGGTCATTGTGGGCTTCTTCCTGGTGCGCTGCCTCAGCACTCGCCTGACGGACCGCGTCATCTTAGTTCTCGGCCTGGTCATCTGCAATGTAGCCTGCGTCTGGTGTTTGCTCTTCCTGGGACGGCCTCAAGGTAATGGCGCCCAATGACTGGGGGGAAAGTAAGGACGTTCCACCCGGGCCTCCTGGTGGCCTCTTTGAGGCAACGGCCTCATCGCCTCCTGATTGATCTCCAGCCAGTTTGAATAAAACTCTTAATTCTCCTTCTATAATCAGGACACTCTGCAGTTGGGATAAATTGGGAGAAAAGGGTAGCTTTGATGAGGTAAATCTTAGAGCTTGTAAAAGCTACCTTTTGAGCTATAACTTTCGGAACCCCTCAGTTAGCATGGATCACAAATCCCAGAATCTTCCCAGTTTCCTGACCATGGAGGTTGAAGAATACTGGGAACTGCTGGATAGTTCAATGGTTTAGGTCTCTGGCTGTGGAGCCAGAGGTTGGGAATTCAGTTCCCCCATTGGGCCTCCCTGACAGGGGCTAGACTTGATGATTTATAGGGTCCCTTCTAGCTTTTCAGGTCCAAGATGAATGTAGTTCAAAAAACTAACTTTTCCAAGCTTTGATCAAGCCAAGATTCATCATTGGTCATCATCCACCTTTTCAGAACTGAAAATATATACAGTATCAGAAAAACATATCAAAATTGATCTATTTGTATATATGTATGGTATTATATTCCATGAGTCAAGGTGAGACTTAATAGTGGATCATGATTGTTTCTTCCCCATCCACACTAGAGAAATTTAACACCAA